TAAAATATTTGCAACATATATGTGAAACATATGCAACATTAAAAAATAAACACACTTACAACGTGCGTCCGAAAAAACAGATGAAACATTTGGAACAGATGCTTACAACATACGTGTACAACCACTTCAACATGTGCAACATCTCGATCTACTTTTGCAACATCCATATGAACCATTTGCAGTATACCTCTGAAACATCTGAAACAATTGAAACGTACACTTGCAACATGCGCTTTCGGCGCAACATCTCCTGTCTTCTTGGGAGAATGAAGGCTTGTCGGCGTGTGGAGTTCACTGGAGCGAGCAGCCTGACAACGCTTGTAGGCGGCAGGCCGCCGCCGGTGGCTTGCACGACGTGGAAGGGAGGCATCGACCACGCGATGCTGCGGGGAGGCAAAAGCTGCACGACTAGAAGAGGGCAATCGCGCACCGCGCCTGGCAGGGCCGGTAGCCAAAGCATCGCAACTCGGAGGGGCCACGCGCCGCACATGGCAAGGCCAGCAGCCGAGCACTGCCCTTGAGGCGGCCGCATGCCACGCTGGCTGGGCCAGCGGGCTAGCGCGGGAGGCACAGGCGAGCGGGTAGGAGCAAGTGATCAAATAGGAACGACTACATGAACGAACAAATTTTTTTATTTAGAAACGAAGGAGCGGGGGGTCTTGGGCTAGCGTTGCAGCCCACCAATGGAGGGTCCGGGCGGACGGACACCGCTTCCCAGCATTACCGTATCCATGTGTTTCACCCCTCACCCACACCGGATTTTTTTCACGGTTTCCCTTCCTCCTCCCGCTGCCCGCCGCTGCCGCGGCGCGGTAGGGTCTCGCCCGAGCTCCACCGCCACGCCTGCGGCTGCGGACCTCCAGCGAGACCCTACCACGCTCGCAGTGGTTTCCCTCTCCCCCTCCGCCCTCACGCCACCGTCGCCATCTTGTCCAACTTCGGTGAGCTCGGTCGCCGCCATCTTCAACAACTCCGGCGAGCCTCCCATGCCCCGACTGGCCCGGTCGCCGCTACCACCGTCAACTCCCCTAAACCGCTCAGCCACCATCCCCACCGTCTGGCCTGCCTGCCTCCCCCGGCCGGCCCCTTCTATACCCGCCGCAGTTGGAGAAGAAAGAGGGGGAGAGGCTCATCGGAACCCTAGCCACCGCCGCCGTCTTCTTGGTCTCCGGTGGAGGAGGAGGAGGAGAAGGACGCCTACCTCGTCGGAGCCAGCGCCACCGGAACCCACCGCCACAGTCGGCGAATCGGACAGCCATCGCTCGCCGCTGGAAATCACGTGTCGATATCTTCTAAAACACTCGGTTGATGGTTAGCATTTCTCTTTGTGGATTGACGTCTCTTGTAGTCTTGTTTGAAGGGATATCAAGTCGAAATCTATCCATTATAATAAAAAAACATGTTTGCTCGTTAACAACTTTTCGAACAGTTGGCCGAAATGTTTTTGCTAGTCAACAAGGATGTGTTTGGTTGGATGAACTGCCACTGTCTAGGACCTCGTTCAGTTCCACTTCATTTTCAAAAATTTTCAAGATTCTCCGTCACATCGAATCTTTGGACGCATGCATGAAGCATTAAATATAAATAAAAAATAAAACTAATTACACAGTTTAGACGAAATTCACGAGACGAATCTTTTAATCTAATTTTGAAGACACTAATTAGACTATATGATTGAACACTAATCTGTCAAATAACAATCCAGGGGTTGTAGCAAGTGCAGTGGTGCGGGTTCTGATCCTAGAATTCAAAAAAGGGGTTGTAGCATCTTCAGTGCTCGGCAATCCAGGGGTTGTAGCAAGGCCCTCTAGACATTCAATTGGTTGCTTGCTCCATGTGCTCGGCAATCCAGGGGTTGTAGCATCTTCAGGTGCAGTGGTGCAGGTTCTGATCCTGAACCCCTGACGCTGATCTTTCTATAGACCCAGATGTGCCCGAGTCAGAGCTGCATGTGCAAAACATTGATGGGTCAATAGTGCAGATACATCAGGACCCTACTCCCTCTATCTAAAAAACACTGTAATTTTCACTCCCTAAGGAGTCAAACAATTCTAAATTTAAATTTGACTAAATATATATAAAAGATTACTAACATTTATAATACTGAATAAGTATTACTATATTAATTATGAAATATGTTTTTATAGTAAATCTAGTTGTAGATATAAATATGGTATTTTTCCTATAAACTCGATCAAATTTTGAAAAAGAAGTTTGGCTTATCCAAAGCTCAGAATTGTATTTTTTGGGAGGCATGGAGGGTGTATAGCACTTTGTGTAATCTTCACAAGATTCCATCCTGAAATGAATCTTATCTTCTTGGAAGGAAGCAGCATTCTAGTGACAAGTTGTTCTGAACAAGTCTCAAGGTATGCCCCTAGAAGGGGCCTACTCCCTGCTACCCTAGGAATAGGATTACATCCACAGCACTTGATGCATGGGCTGCAAAAAAAACTTCCAAGATTACATTTGAGCCCTAAAATAAATACTCCTATAAAAATACAGTTAGATCTCAGACAATATTCCCTCTTACAACATGGGATGTCCCTCTGCCTCACTAGATAGACTGTAGGTGCCAGTGATGTATGAACAACTACCTGAGCCACTGGCCTCTTTCAGTATTCTTGGATGTTTCCAGTTCCAATTGCTCAGTTAAAGCCAGTCACATGCATGGCAAGGAAAAGGCATGTTTAGCAACAAGAGGCGTGATTGCATACGAACAGATCAGCCAAGCTCAGATTCTCCAAATTCAAATTTGACAGAGGTTTGTCAATGTCGATCTCTCTCTTCATGTGTAGTAACAAACAAGCAAAGGGGAATAAAGCAATTAATTCTGTGTGGCTCAAATTTATATCAGGTAAGTACTATGTTAACTTTGTGCACGTGAACAACGAATTCAAGTAAGACAAGCAAGTGTTTGGATGAAATACTTACCGCAAAAAAAGAAAGGGGGTTTGGTTAGCTTCCAACTCAAAGGCCATGCGCTGATGTGCTGAGCCTGAGCTATCGTCGCAGTCATTGTTACAAGTTGTCTCCCAACTTTCTTATTGAAAAAGCTTTCATCGAGACAGTGTAGCTGCATACGTACAAGTACTTAAATATTCATATTCATGACCCAGGTTTTAACCCAGACACCTCTGAAGGGTTAGGGTTAGAGTGCGTGCTACTTGCTATATATGTTACCTATTTGTCTGATTCCATAAAGATAATTAATGATTTTGTTGCCGTATTGCCTCTTATCAAATATGTTTTGATGCTCCCCTACTAGTGACATGTAGCCACCTCCTCAAGGTAAATGTGCATCTATCACCCGTTATGGCAAGATTGCTACTTTGCTAGGCAGGAGAGTGCCACCTAATACTAATAGAGCAGCATAAGCAAACTAGGTGGCCGTCAATATCGTCAGAGTCAACTTTATTATATAACATAAATTTTTTTATTTCAACAGTGTTTTATTAGAGAATTTATAAATTTTATCAGGATCGATGGACCCTGTTTAAATTCGTCCCTAAGCCACCTTAGATAATATACAATATTTTTTCTTTCTTGTAATACCATTTTTTTAATCTATCGTGAACGATCTATGTGAACACAGTGGGAACATACCAAAACCATCGGATAAGATGATGTAATGTTGTTTTATATATACTTGCTGCTAGACTCTTTTAAAAATAAAATTAGATGCCGTTTGACAGTACTTCTCCATCGGCTTTAGGAGCTATTTTTCTGCCAATCATGGTAAAATAGAATGACTTCACTGGTGAAGCCCCTAAAATATGCTCTTACATAGCTTTTTGGGGGCGGGCGAGGAGAAAAAAAAAATAGCTTTACCTGGCTTCTTCTCTAGGACTGCGAGGCACTGCCACGGATACTTCACATAAATTACACAGATTGTCAGGAAAAACACTCGTGATTTTTTTTTTCTTTGCCGTCGTCCGCACGAGGTCTCCCGTCCGTGGAGAAGAGCGTCCGTAGAATGCTAATACTTTATGTTATTTTTTATTTATTAAATTTTAATTTTATTTTTTAAATTCAAATTTACTCGGATAAAAAACATATACAAATGTATAGCTGCAAATGTTACTACATATGTACGCACACAGGGATATGTTAGACAATTGATCTCTATCAACCATGCATGATAAATAGGTGAAGCCATTTTGCCAAACAGTTTTATCAAAACGGCTTCAGCTCCACCGATGAAGCCGTTCGTGGAGCCAAAGCAACAAAAAAAATGGCTTCACTGGTGAAGTGAAGTCCTGCCAAATGGGACCTTATTGTATATATGAGTTATATCGTCTACGTATTCTTATATCCATTCTTATCAAAATTGGTTGCAGTAAGAGGTTGAAAGTTAAAAAGATGACGTCGCTATTAGTAAAAGATGATATGGTTAATTAGTGAAAAATGATATGAATAACTTGCATTTAGAGATAGAACTTGTAGGGGAATAGCTTTACAAGGGAGATAGATTACTCCCTCCGCTTCATCAAATTATAAGTTATCTTATTTTTTAAATAAATAGTTTGTACTATATATCTAGATATATATATTATATTTTTCTATCATATAGTAATAGAAATTATGAATATAAAAAACTTATAATTTATACCGGAGTGAGCATATAATTATATGCACGTTATAAAAAAATATAGGATCATATGTCATATTCACTTGACTGATAAGTCATGTCTAAAAATACTATTATCTGATTTATTATAAAAATACTGTTATTTGATTTATTATAAAAAAAAATACTATTCATCACCTAGCTAAAGAAGTACGACTTATAAATAAGTGAGCACGTGGTAATAAGGAAATACCAGGTACTACGACAGATGCTTGTCATAAATGCCAACCTCCTTACAGGCCCCCCAAAAAATGCTTCGGCCCCCCTTGTTCTCGCCTCCAACGTCTCTCACTCTCTGCCCCTCCTCCGGCCTCAGTCTCCACCCCGCCCCTTCACACCGCCGGAACCCTACCCCAGGTCCCACAGCCAAATGCCGCCAGCTTCCCGCCCCGCTGCCGCCTCCTCCGCTCCACCCGCGCCGCCCCGCCGCCTCCGACGCCGCCGCCCGCTCAAAGCCACACTATCCACCGCCGCAGGCGCCGGCGCTGGAGCTGCCCGCCGCGGCGGCCCCGAGACCCCCCATCTCCGTTGGGCCGCGCCTGGCGGCGAGGGCAACGCCGGCGCGGAGAGGCCGCGCGGAGACCCGCCCTCCTCCTCCGTCAGGCGCCTGGCCGCGGCGGTGTGGCGGCTGCGGCCAACCGAGGAGGCACCCGCCGCTGGCCAGCATGACGCCGCCTCCCGTGTCGGCCTCGAGGTACGCGCATCTCCCACTCCGTGCTCGCCCGTTAGAAGAAAAAAAAAGGAAGTTCGAATTTTTAGGTCGAATTAAGCTGCTCCCGCTCGAATGTTGCTGGATCCTCTCTCGGATTCGGCGTACGGGGAGGCGAATCCAGGACGGCGGGCGGCGACGCCCTCCCTCATCAAGCCGCCGTACTCGCCTGCCCACCGTACCACTCCGCTCTCTAGCCTCCCTCCGTTCTAGCTCGTGGCGGCAAGCAGTTACTAGCCGTTGCCGACGGCGTCGCACGGCGGCGGAATCGAAGTCCAGATCCCCATTTATGGCGGCGTCCCTTCTCATTGCTCTCTTTCATCTTTTTATATAATATAATCGCTCCCGTCTCAGTGTCGGCGGGTGACATTTATTGCTCAGGCCACGGGCGCGTTCCTTGTGATACACACAGCCTGTGATCTGCTCCTGGCTCATTGAATCATCGGTGTGCCGTGCAATTAAACACGCATGGATGTACCTCTCTAGGGTTCTTGATGTGAGAGTAACCAGCCTGTCTCCTCCAGCTACCCATGCTTGTGGTGCGTGGGTGCCTTGCCTATTTATACTGGAGTCACTACTGCTACCTTGCCAAGTGATATTCGGTGTACACTCGGTCATGTGTTCAGTTTCCACTTGAGTGAGTTACCCTTCTTGGTTGCAATGCCAGTATGCCACTGCCATTCATGGCATGAGCAATAGATCCTGGTTTCAGAAGATGGTATGCGGGTTTCATACAACTCTTTCGTTTGTCATTCATCCTATCTGCTGATAAGTTCTGAATGATCCACTCCCCAAGATTTATATGTGCAATAACGAGATCAGTTCATCTTGTTCTTATGTCTCCTTTTTCTTCAGATCTTTGCTTTGTCATTTTGAAGAAATTACTTTAGGCTATAACTTTGAGGATGGGTAAATCTGAGGGCGCTATCAAATCGTTATCCATGTATTAATGTCTTGTTGCTGGTTAGAGATGGAACAAATGCTTTTTTTTCTGCTTTGTGGCAATGATCATTCATATTAACTTGTTGATTTCACTTATATGACAGCATATACCGAGACATCTACAAACTCACCTTCTGAGCAAGAATCCTCTTAGTTACCACCATAGTCTGAAAAAAGACATTTCAAGCCCCAACTCTGCCCTGGGGCCACATAGTGGAGAGCTCCACAAGGTATAACCAGAAATCACTCGCACCTAAATTGCTTCTATCTTTTTTGGTTCCATACTGCAAGCTAATTCAGTGGATTTAACCATGCAGGTACACCTTCGTCTTTCCTCTGGTGTGGAGGATGCAACAAAATGGGAGCATATAAACATAAAGAGCATAGAACCAGATGGTGCCTATGTGATTGCTAGCCAACTAAATCTTGTTGAGGAACAGAAAGGGGGCAGCTATGTTGCTAGCCTTGAGTTGGAGCTTCAGCAGGCGCGGGATAGGGTGAGCAAGCTAGAAGCTGAGCGGCTTTCAGCCAAGAAGCAACTTGATCACTTGTTCAAGAAACTCGCAGAGGAGAAAGCAGCTTGGCGGAACAGAGACACAAGAAAGTTCGAGCAATTCTTGAAGATATGAAGGCTGATCTGGAGCATGAGAAAAAGAACCGGAGGCAGTTGGAGACTATTAACTTCAAGCTTGTTGATGAGTTGAAAGAGGTCAAAATGGCCGCGAAGCAGCTATTGCAGGAGTATGACAGCGAGCAGAAGACACGGGAACTCATGGAGGAGGTGTGCAACAAGCTAGTGAGGGAGATAGAGGAACACAAGTCAGAGATCGAAGCCTTGAAACAGGATTCTGTCAAACTGCGGGGTGAGCTGGATGAGGATAGGAAATTGCTACAGATGGCTGAGGTGTGGCGTGAGGAGCGAGTGCAGATGAAACTTGTGGATGCCAAGCTCACTCTTGAGGCCAAATATGAACAGTTGAGCAAACTGCAGGAGGATGTGGAGGCTTTCATTTCAACTTTCAGCTCTTCCAAAGGAGACAGCACAATTGTTGAGGCGGCACACAACACTGTACGGGCCATTGGGTCAGCCAGAGACCAAGAGGTTGAATTCACGTATGAGCTACCAAGAGCATCAGAAGATATACTGTCCATCTTTGAAGAGCTATGCCCAAGCGAAGAGACAGAGACAAAGGAAACTGAACCATGCCCAAAGAAAGAAATCCAAGAAGCTAGCCCAACAACTGATATATTTCTGGAAAATCGAGACAAATTGTTCCCAGATGGAATCCATTCTGATGAGAGCGACACGGAAGATGGTAGCAGCTGGGAGACCATGAGCCATGAAGAGATGCAAGGTTCAAGCCACTCACCATATGGAAGCGAACCTTCAGTCAACAAGATCTTTGACAGAATTTCATGGACCAGTGGAAACGATTCTGAGGGTGAGCAGATCAACAAACTGTGTGATGACTTGAGCAATGTGTACCTGACAGACATGAAACAGTCCAAGAAGAAAGAGTCCGCCATATCAAAGCTGTGGAAGTCATCTCCACTGAAAAACTGTGAACTCCGTACAAAAGATGTTCCAGAGATGATAAATGGGAGATTATCAAGTGCAAGTCTTCCAAATGGTGTGTACTCTACTGCCAAAGGATCAAATCTAGATATGGGAGACAGCACCCCAAGCACAGCGCAATGGAGCTCACCAGACTCGATGAACAGCCAGCTCAACCGGGGTTTCAGAGGCTGCATGGAGATGGTTCAGAGGCAGAGCCTGAAGGCAAAGCTCCTAGAAGCTCGGATGGAGAGCCAGAAGATTCAGCTCCGTCATGTGCTCAACCAGAAAACCTAAGTTAGAACCTCACTCTGCGTCAAGAAATAAAATTCCAAGCATTGTATCTATTTCATTTCCCTTGTCCATTGTAGTATGTAGCTTAGTCTCATGTGCTTCTGCTTCATATCATAGAACTATACAGCTAGCTGTAGCCTTGTAGGCTGACCCGGCCATGGTTGATGCATCTGTCTAATAGTGGCAGTACATTTGACAGGTTATAGTGTCCGTCTTTATGTGTAATGTAGCAGTAAACAAGAAGCATCGTTCAGACTAACTGTACCAGTAATGTAGCAGCAAACAAGAAGCATTGTTCAGACAAAAAGAACCACTGGCAGTGAAGAATTGTAAAACCTCTGAGAATGTGTTTTCATTTGAAGCGAACAGAATACTCAGAAATGGAAACGTCTTCAGAAACTCCTGTCATGGAGGCCATAGGAATTCTGATTCTAAAATGAAATTTATGCTAGATACAGTTGCGATGTCAAAACACAAAATGTGTCACTTTTAGTTGCAATAGCCACAACAGATTCTCTGTGATGCAACACACAAACTCGCTCGCATAAAGTCACTGGAGCTTTGATTTTGGAAACATTTTATGTTCCAGAATTGTTAGTCAAGTACATACTTTGTTAACACACAACTATTGTCGACAGCTCGATTGTATTGAGCGTACAAGTTTTCATACAAGTTATTAGCAATATAGTACAGCTATATGATCACACATTGCTTTGCTTGTAGAGCTTCGTGTCCAACACTTGCTTCCCACACATTGCGCACACTCCTGGAAAAAATCAATATTATGATCAGAATAAGGAATTAACTAATTTCAGAAGCATTTTGTTAAGTCATGAACTATATGATAGTGATACTTCGAATGTGTCAATGCACTTAAAATTCATTTACCATGTTCCCTTTTTAGTGTGTTTCTTACCTTTCGAGTAAGCACAGGTGTGGCAATATTTTGCGTCCTGGTGCACCTGTTGCTTGCAGATTATACATTTGGTGTTTCCATATGGAGTCCACCTGTGATTAAGCAGAAGTGTGTAGAATTAGACCACAATCACAATATTACCTTCAATGGACAACAGATGTGATTTGAATATTAAGTTACAAAAAAGAATACTGTGATTTCAATAGAGAACAAAAACATATAGCTTGTTCTGGAAAATATCCAATGAGGCTAAAGAATCCGTAGATACAGAATACTCAGTTAAAATTTTAAGCAACATATTTAGAAGGAACAGATCTTGACTCCTGACCAAACAAACAGGATATCAGCCACACACTGGTGACACATGATATTTCCATGGAAATTCAAGAGCACCTTGCTTGAACATAAGGATCAAATAAATATGAATTTTGATTAAAGATTCCTAAATAAAAACTGGAAATCCTTATCCCCTAACACCCCATATCCATATGAAACCCTAGCTAGCACCTGTTTCCGTACCTTACAACATCAGAACTCATATTCCTTCTCACCTTTTCTATCTCACCTGTGTATTCCCACAACTAGTAATGAAACATTCATTAATTTGGAAGGTGGTTTCTTCATATTCCTATGTTAACCGAGACAACAGTTGGCATGACAGTTTCTCCGATAAGACCAAAGTTTATCATTTATAGAAAGAAATCCTTGTGGAACATGTGCCTTGTTGTCTTCCAGATCTGTGACACTTGCAACAAATAATTCACTATCTATTCAGTTAAGAACTAAGGAGGCCATCCTTACTACGGCCCTGCATTGAAGAGAGATAAACTTTGAGGGGGCTTTTTTTGGAACTTTTTTTTTGGGGGGAACTTTGAGGGGGCATTAGGCTACCATGCTACCACCATCGTGGTACCAAACTGTCAAGAACAAGAGCTTGTACTCTTGTACAACCGACATACTATCAGTCTGATTCAGTTGAAGGCTTTAAGGGGAAAAAATGAGGGCTAACACAATATTCTAAAATTAAATGATTTAGGTGGCTCAAAATTCAAGAAATCAAGTCTACCTCCATTGAGTTGGACCAGCAAACAATTTGTTTGATTGATTGGTTACTGACTTACTGTATACTATCTTCATGACTAGTACAGCCATTAACTCTGGTGATTTGCCTCTTTATTAAAGAAAACCAAAGCTCCTACCCTGATCTGTTGAAGGTATCCCAGAAAACGAAATTGGGAGCCCAAGCAACAGGCATCAGCTATTCGCGCGTGATGTCAGCCCAACCCTAACCGCAAAGAACTACTAGTAGTAGGGTCGAAGGCTCGACAGGGGCAGGGGAAGGGAGGATGAGGGGAGAGCTGACCTGTTCTTCTTGGAGAGGAGCTTGTTCTCGTTGATCTTGCGGCCGCCGCTCTCGTTGGTGTTGCTGGCGCCCTCCTTCCACTTGTCAGGCACGATCACCTTCCCGAGCTTCTTCTCGCCTGCATCCCAAATTCCACCAGCACTTTCTTATATAAGGAAAAACAGGAAGAAGAAAAAAAAAGGGTACAGATCCCAGCACGAGTCCTCTAGGGCAAAAAGGAATCGGGGATGCACACCATCAACTACCGGGAGGAAGGGAGGGATAATATTACACTTAGCGCACACCATCGCCGCCGCCGCCGCCGCCGATTCTTGCTGTTCTTGCGGTTGGGGATCCGAGGCTGGATGGAGCCGAGAGGAAGGGGAAACAAAGAAGGAAGCGGTGGCTGGCTGAGAGATGCGCCGGGGTTCGGGTCGGTTAAGCGCACCAGATCTGTTTACCCGAACCAAGCCTGTTTGATGGGCCAGGCTCAAAGCCCAGATAGCTCTAGGCCCAATTTAGACCGAATCCGGGCTCAACTTGAAAATTGGGCGAATGTGCTTTTGGGCAAAATTTGTTTAAATTGGGTTGGAGTTCTGCGGTTAGAGTGGAGAATAATTTCGTGATAGTAATAGTATAAACTTATATTAGTATATACCGTACAGCTTGTTTTACTCTCGTACATCGATTTTTTTTTAAAATAAACTTATAGTACATACTTTGATACTCATATACATATATGTACATCCACCGGATGGAATCCAAACACAAATCGCAACATGCACTACAAAAGTCATTATATGACTTGCTAAAAGTTAAAACAGTTGGTACAAACGTGGTACAAGCGACAAAGTGAGTAGCATCTCTTACACTTTAACAAAAAAAACAATAGGCAAATTAACAAATTTTCTAAAGTTGTAAAAAAATGAGGAGGTTGTTGGCTGAGGTAGCAGGCAATTTTACATCAGGAATCCTGGACTATTTCTAAATCACTCTAGGCATGTTTACATTCTCTCTCTTATACATTTGTCTTGGGACCTTCTCCTTTGTACTTATTCTTCCCCCACGTCCTTTCACCATCGGATTAGCCGATTGGACACACATGTATATATTTCCTCATGATTAGATCGATTTTCTCAAGTGTGGAAAGATTGGAAGTTGAAATAAGGAGTTGTTGCAGAGTTTTTTTTTTCAATCGTGCTAAAAATCAAGATTGAGAGTAGGTTTTGAAAACTCTTGAAGATGCTCTAACAAAGGGAAACGTTATTAACGATAACAGAAATGTTGTAGCCCGAGCATCCGACACTCCAAAAATATCGGGCGCACTCCAGGCACGGATAGCCACTCATTCCTTAGTTAAATTTTATCCACTCATTTCTCAGCCTCCACATCACCACCTCCCACCCTGTCTCTTCTTCAAACTCCTCTCTTCCTCATCAGGCAAACGGCACAACGAGCTCAGCCATCCCCATCCTCCTCTCACATTTACTAGGCACGAGTTGTTGTTGTTCCTGTGTAACACCCTAAATTTACATGTTTTTAAAATAGGCTAAAATGATATAATTATGCATTTTTGTGAGCATGCAAATTTAGAAAAATAAAAACTTTGTTAAAATTAAAATCAAATATAAGGTTTAACAACTTGTTTGTGCATACATGCTGGTGCATTGGAATTATTGGAATGTGTGGCTTTGTCCAAAATTCAAAATAATTTCAAATGCTTTTGAAATGGTTTGAAAATGGATTTGAAAATATAACTTGGAGAAAAAAAGAAAAAAACAAACCTCACTCTCTCCCTTCTCCCCTCGGCCCAGGCGGCCTGCTTCGTTCTCCCTCTTCATGAGGCCACCACGCTTCTTTTCCTGGCCCAGCCCAACAAGCAAGCCGGCATAACAAAGCACCAATGCCTCGCTTCTCTGCTGCCACCCCCTGCCCGGCCCAATCCGCGCCAACATCGCCCGCTTTCCCTCTTTGGTCTCTCTGCCAGACCGGGCCCAGGCGCCAGTCGTCTTCAACCTCTCGTCTACGCCTAGGACTCCATCGCCGTCGAGGAGTTCGACGCCGCCATGTCACCGCCTTGCGTGCGCCCCAAGCCGACCACCCCTTATAAGCCGAAGCCTGCGCCGATCGCTTCGCATAGCTCCAGAACCATCCGTATTCGTTGAGACGGTGCGCCGCCTCTGACTCCGCCGCTGCCACGCCTCGTCCTTGGTGTGCGTCCCACGCAAATCCTAGGCCATAAATAGCAGCCGCCCGCACCCCGCCTCTCCCCATCCCGTTCTAAGCCGCAGTCACCTCGCTGAGTCGACACAACGCTGCCAAACCCTAGCCACCGACGAGCCGCCTCGCTCGCCGAGTCGCCACGTCGAGCCGTGAAGCCTTAGCCGCTGCCGCCGTCAAGCACTGCGCCATCGCCATCCGTTCCACGCCGTCTAGATTGGCCGAGGTGAGTTCACCTCGCCGTCCTCTTTCTCCCCGTGCAATTCCCATGTCGAATCGTGGTCTCTAGGACTATTTTTGGGTTGCGCCGACGAGGTCCCTAGAGCCAGCCATGTCCTCCGCCGTCGTCGTCGCTCCCTATTCCGGCCGGCCGCGCCATCTCTCTCCCTCCCTCTCTAATCCCGACCGACCAAGTTAAATCCAACGATCCAGATTTTAAGATACCCCTTTGGCTGATAGTTTTTTAAAAGAGCCCTCGCATTTTTGTAGATTAGAACCCGTTGTCCCTGTACTTTTGCTTAAGAGACCCTCGGCATTTGAATAATCTAACCCGCAGTCCATGGCGCACTTCCAGAATACGTTTTCCTATTCTGAAAGCGTAGTTTGTTTCTAGTAGATTCAAAATATGTTTTCATCTATTTACAGTTTTGCCACTAGTTTTCTTTAGGCCATAATCTCTCCATTTTAGCTCCGATTTGATCCGTTCAAGTTGCGTTAGATTCGTAATTGAGTAATCTACATGTTCAAGCTACTGTTAAATATATTTTCAATTTTTGAAATTCGAGATTAGATTTAATCTATTATTTTATTAAAGGAAATCTTGTTAAATTCATAACTTTTTCGTTATAGCTCTGATTAGAGTGTTTTTCGTGTCTATGTGTTCGTAGCAACATGTAGAACATCTTTAAAACCTTTTCACTTGATGTTTCATATGTTTGGTGTACTGTTCTAATTTAGTTCTATTGTTTGCTTCGTGTATGATTGCATGAATGCTTGTGTGGTGTTCTATGATCATGTCTAGTCGGTGAGAAGTACGTTGGTGGCGTAGAGGAAGTTGGTGGTCCAGAAGAAGTCCTTTGGAGGTTACAATTCAATAGAAGAAGGATCTGAGTTTAAGGCAAGTATAGCATGGGATCTTCCTTGTTGTCATATACACCTTTAATCATTTAATTCATGCTGCATGTGTCTACCTTGACTACCACTAAGGATTTCCTAGTACTTTGTTACCTTGTACCTTGATCCATATGGGTTATTGCATTGGGTAGTATGATGCTAGTGCTCAATTAAAGACCATGATCTTGTAACTTGACTAATGGTATATGCAATAAACACTAAAATATGTTTTTTATCAACATGGAACAAGGGGGCTAGAGCATTGGGTTATTTTTATGGTGCTCTAGATTCCCCTCCCTAAGGACCTATCTATAAGCGAACATCCGAGACTTACAGTACAGTTGTGAGGGCTATATAGCTCTGGCTTTAGCTTAGTATGAGGACCTTTTTTAGCTTGTTAGTGGTTACCTTTATTGGTGTAAGAATAGCTTGCCGAATCGGGTATAGTGCGTCCTCTATCCCCTTATGTATAGGCTACGCGTCATTATGCCATTGGGAATGGGGTCTCTACATCTGTTTGCTGAGTGAATCTAATGGCCCTAACTTGTTAGACGAACCTTTGAAAGGCTTCATAGTGAACCCTGCCGACCTTCCTAGGTTGTGGGTCAAGATGCTGATCACCTCAGGTGAAAGGGTAAATCACGACTCACAGTGAAAGTGTACAACCTCTACAGAGTGTAAAACTGTTATAACAGCCGTGCTCACGGTCATGAGCGGCCTTAGACCCTTACGGAATAGATTATGAACACGGATGATACTGATGATGAAGATGCTCACTAATGATTACCGTTTATGCTATTCATTATTCATGTTTACCTGATCATGTGTGTCGGGAATCGATAGTAGGGATACCCAAAGCAACAAAGTTAGCGCCCACGCTGACTTAGCCAGATGGATCAAGACGTATTAAAAGGTCTCGCCTGACCCCAAGGCTGCGGGCTCCGTCTCGCCCGACCTCAAGGCCGCGGGCTCCATCTCGCCCGACCCCTTGGGTGTGGGCTCCATCTTGCCTTACCCTAAGGACGCAGGTTCTGTCTCGCCCAAGGCCATGGGCTCCATCTCGCTCGACCTCGAGGCCGCGGACTCCGTCTTGCCCGACCTCGAGGTCGTGGGCTCCGTTTTGCCCGACCTTGAGGCCGCGGGCTCCATCTCGCTCGACCCCTTGGGTGCGGGCACCGTCTCGCCTGACCCCAAGGACGCGGGTGCTGTCTCGCCCAAGGCCATGGGCTCTGTCTCGCCCGACCTCGAGGCCGCGGGCTCCGTCTTGCCGAACCTCGAGGCCACGAGCTCTGTCTCGCCCGACCCCTTGGGTACGGGCTCCTTCTCGCCCGACCCAGAGGATGCAGGTTCTGTCTCGCCCAAGGCCGCGTGCTCTGTCTCACCTGACCCCTTAGGTGCGGGCTTCATCTCTCCCGACCCCAAGGACGTGGTTTCCATCTCGCCCGAGGCCACGGGCTCCATCTCACCCAACCCCTTGGGTGCGGGCTCCGTCTCGCCTGACCCTAAGCACGCGGTTTTCGTCTCATCCGACGGGGACCCATACCATCGCCAACCACTCTAGGTCTAAGCGTATGGGCCTAGGTCAAAACTCTAACGCTAGGGAAGAGGCTGGCACGCTTCGATGTAACCCTTGGCCATGACGGGTGAAAGCTCTAGTTTGGTTTGGGTGAATTGATGAAACCCTAAGTGCTAACCTAGTTTATCAAGTGATCATGAGATAGGTAGCACACTCCAAGTGGTGAAGCAAATGAAGATCATATCATAATGATGATGATGGCATGGTGATGATCAAGTGCTCGGACTTGGAAAGAAGAAAGAGAAAAACAAATAGCTCAAGGCAAAGGTATAAACCATAGGAGCTATTTTGTTTTGGTGATCAAGACACTTAGAGAGTGTGATCACATTTAGGTTTGATAGCCGTACTATTAAGAGGGGCGAAACTCGTATCGGAATGCGGTTATCAAAGTGCCACTAGATGCTCTAACTCATTGCATATGCATTTAGGATCTAGTGGAGTGCTAACACCCTTGAAAATGTTTGTGAAAATATGCTAACACATGTGCACAAGGTGATACACTTGGTGGTTGGCATATTTGAGTAAGGGTGAAGAAGTTAGAGGTGAAAAGGAGTTAGTGTCGCTGGCTATACAGTGACCGGACGCTGGACCTCGGGGGGACCGGCGCATCCGGCCATGTATGGCAGTGAAGACGCCAGCATCGGTGAATGACCGGACGCTAGGTCATGGACTGACCGGACGCTAAGGGTCTGGGTCCGGTCGTGTTGTCGGGCGGCACAGTAAGAAGTCATAGTGTGATCGGACGCTGGCAGGGTCCGGTCAAGCATGACCGGACGCGTCCGGTCGAAGAAATTCGTTTCTGGAACCTTACTGGAAACGATCGGACGCTGGAGGCTCAGAGTCTGGTCAGTTGTAGCGGAGCATCCGGTCAACAGATGACCGTTGAGATCAGACAACTCCTGTTAAACATAGTGTGACACATGGCTGACATCGGGCGACCGGACGCTGGGTTCAGAGTCCGGTCAGTATGACCGGAGCGTCCGGTCACCCCGCGCTGTACCCAGTGAAGGGGTACAATGGCTCTATTTCATGGGGGCTTCTATTTAAGCCCTATGGCCGGTTCAAGCTCATACTCTTGGCCATTTTGCATTGACATAGCAACCTTGTGAGCTTAGCCAAAGCCCTCCCACTCATCTCCATCATTGATTCATCATCTTTGTGAGATTGGGAGAGAATCCAAGTGCATTGCTTGAGTGTTTGCATCTAGAGGCACTTGGTGTTCGTGTTTCATTGCGGGATTCGCTTGTTACTCTTGGTGGTTCCCGCTACCTAGATGGCTTGGAGCAGCGAGGATCATCGAGCGGAGGGTGGTGATTGTCTCTGGCTCCGATCATAGTGATTGTGAGGGGTTCTTGACCTTTTCCCCGGCGAAGAGCCAAAAGATACTCTAGTGGATTGCTCGTGGCTTGTGTGATCATCATCTTGTGTTGGTTGTGTGGCACCCTATTGAGGGTTTGGCATGTGATGCCAATTAGCGCATGAACCTCCAAGTGAGTGAATCGCCACAACAAGGAGTAGCTTGCCGGCAAACAAGTGAACCTCGGTAAAAATCATTGTGTTCATCATTTGATTCTGAGGTGATTGTTATTCATTGTTATTCATTCTTGTGATTGATTGGCTCCTTCCATGACAAGGCGGTATAACTTTCTTGATCACTCTCTTTACATTACCGCAAACTAGTTGTCAAGCTCTTTAGTGTAGCTAGTTGTGAGAGCTTGCTTGCTTGGTTGGTGTGGCTCTTTAGTTAGCCTTTGAGAGCACACTAATATAGGGTAGTGTCATAGCTATTGTGTGAATAGATACTATCTAAACTAGAATTGTGGTAGGTGGCTTGCATTTTGAGTAGGCTAGCGCAACTCTTGCTTCGCCTCATAATTGTCTAACCATTTTGTTAAGTGTTGTTGTAAAAAATTTTATTAGACTATTCACCCGCCCCCCTCTAGCCATTAGGACCTTTCAACGGGCCATACCTAGGGATTCACATCAAGGACAGTGTTGGACGTGTCGGTGCTGTTCTGCCTAATCCTAGTACGAACGCTGGCAGGC